TTTTAAAAGCCGACAAGATATGTTGTCCAGTCCTGTGGCTTTATCTGTTGGCATATTGCTTAAAAACTTCAGAACTAAGTCACTAGAGATCTCCACAAAATTGAAATTAAATTCAACTGGTCTGAGGAAATCCTGGAAATCAATGATACCTCTCTCCACCTACTGCGACCAGTGTATTGCCAATTCTGGAAAAATGATTATTCATTAAGTCGGCAATTTCTGCTGGGTCATTAAAAGTGCAATTGTTAATTTTTAATTCAGTGATGGAATTACTTGTAGAATTGCTTCTACCAGTAAGGTTATTTATTGTTTTCCACAGTGCTTTAGGATTTCCATAATTGCCTTTAATTCTAGAGTGATAGTAAGAAACTTTAGATTTCTTAATTTCGTTAGTAACCATGTTTCTAAAGCTCTTATACTCACTCCAGGATTGTTGATCACCAGATCTAATTGCTTGTCTCTTTAAATAATTTCTATGAATAATTAGCTGTCTGATATCTCCAGTGAGCCAAGGAGAGTGGTTATTTCTAACCCTACGTGTTCTCAAGGGAGCATGAGCATTAGTAACTCGAAGAAAAACCTCTTCCCATTGCTCTACCATTTCACTAGGATCAGACAAATTGTCAATAAGAGACCAATCTATGGAACTCAGCTGAGTCCTAAACTTATTCGAATCAAAATTCTTAAAGCATCTATATGTAATATACTTATGACACTTAATATTTGAGGGAACCGCAAATTTCCTTAAAGCATATATCAGGCTATGATCGCCCATGCCTAAGTGGCAAACACCAGATGCTACCATGCGGTCAGGCATATTTGTAAATATTACGTCAATTAAAGTACTGGAAGTTCGCGTTACCCTGGTGGGCTCTTTTATAATTTGAAAAAAGTGATAAACATCACAGATAAATTTGACGATTGATAAATTAGGATCAGATTTACACAAATAATTGCTATTTAAGTCACCAATCAGCATTAATTCCTTAGTTTCCTGGTCATAAGTTTGGAGAAAAAGAGAGAGAGAGAGAGAGAGAGAGAGAGAGAGAGAGAGAGAGAGAGAGAAGGAGAACCTGCTAATAAATTATATTGACAAATACGGCAAAACTTCTAAGAAGATTTGTGTTAGCAAGGCAGAAAAAATATTGATTACCTGAATTCAAACTGCAGTGGTAGATCGTCGTCCTTAAATTCATCACATTGAACATAAAATTCAGTTGTAACAGCGGTTCCTATCTCAGGATCTGCCATGCAGTATCCTCCTTGCGGAGGGGAGTTTGTGATGAAAGTCATTTGATCTCTTTCGACAGAACCATCTTTCAAAAGAACTTCGCCAACTAATCTGATGATAAAAAACTAAAACAATTAATCTGTAAACCAAATATTTAATAACATGAAATTAAGAAACCATTTTATTTTAAATTTTAAGAGAGAATTCTTTTCGTATTCAAGCAGTGAGCGCCAAAAACTATTTTCTTGAAGAAAGACTGTTGTACAAGGCTAAAATCTTGTTATTCAGAAAGTTTAACTTGTTTGGAAGTGGAGATGACCGATGAAAGTAGAATCAAAGTGTTAACCCGTAGCAAACATTTTATTCAAAAATGAGGTTTAGGCCTTCATTAATTGCTTATTTCAAACAGGCATTTTATCATAGTACCTCAGTTTCTAACTGTTTATAAAAGGTTTTGAGTGTTTTTGGCGCTTTTTCCATTATAACTCATTATTGAAAAGAATTCTCTCTTAAATTAAAAAATACAAACGGCAGGCGATTAGCATAATACGGTGTATTTTTGCAAAACACTAAATTCTTTTGTTGATCAACTAATGCTTTCATATACGGAAGTAACACACACCAGACATTTTTTGTCAGTATTTTCTATATCTATTCTCTTTTAATTTTCTTTTTGCTTGGAGCTGTATTCCACTGAGTAGTACTGTTTTCAAGATTATTAAAAATATCTTACTTGTATTCAGCATCGTTTTCCAGCGCGTTAAAATTCTCATTGAGTCTCCCTTTGATAACAATGGAATGGCTGTCCAAATCTGTTAGAGATTTTTCTTCTAGGTCATCCACTTTCTGCCATTTCGGAACAGTCACATTATGTGATGCAATGTTTGTATAAAGGACCCAGTTGTGACTTTGTATTGCTTTGCAAGTCAAACCTTTACATACTGCCTCGACTGTCATTCGTAAGTTGGTGCTAACTTTATGACCGCAATTTATCAGGCATCTAAGGAAAAACATATTACTAATTCAATTTTATTCAAGTAGATGAATTTAAATTAAATATGGCTTATTCTATCTAAATTCCTTTCGAAGTTGATCAGACGCATTCAGGAGAACTCCAATAGCTGTGAAAAGGTCTTCTTTTTTCTAGAACGCTTTGACAGACGGTATTGAGGCTTTTGGTAAAACATATGTCTAATATTGAGCATTCTAGCATTTTTCTCTTATAATCGCTTTTTATGCTTGTTTTTATTTTTCACGACACATAATTTATAAATTACCAGAATTACCTTAAAGAAAGAGATAAAGAAGAGTTTACTCTCATTTGATGCTCGAGTTTAGTTTGTCTGTTGTCCTTCGTTATGATTACTTGAAATACATAAACGTTCTTAGAAGCCATAAATGCAGGCTCCACATGTAGCAAAGGCCCAGTTTCATTCATTTTTCCGGGACCATACCCAAAACAGCCACCTTTATTTCTCTTCCTCGTCACAGATATAACGTCAAATGGATGGCTCATGTTTACTCCGGTAAAACTTTCGCCGCTTCTCCGGCATAACCAAATGAAGGTGATTCCCTTATATTTAGTAAACGGATCGCTTGGATCCAAAGAATCTCTTGCATCAAGTACAAATGGACCAGTGCCCTTAACAACTTCTTTTGGCCCCTTAATATTTGCTACCAAAGGTGGTAATGTGACATTGATAAAACCATAGTCATATGAGGTCGTTCCTTCTTGTCCTATCATTGAGGCACTAAACCTGACGTATTTTAATCCAACGCCCCATTTTCGGGCTTTCTCTGTAACCTGGATCAATCCCATACCAAACGTTACGGGTGATATAAGTTGCTTGTTCTCCATCCTAACGTGAGCTAGCTCCCATGCGTATAACGTCTCTGACGTTGCATTACATCGTAGCTCAACTTCACCTTTCAATGTGATAGGATCTGTTAAATGAACGATACTAGCCTCTGCTTCAGTTTTACTCAAGTTGACTTTAACTGATGGTGGTCGACAGGAGAAGTCCACTAAAAGAAAAAGAATATTTTTAAGATAAGTCTAAAAATACACGTTAGTAAGGGCTTGCTCTCATAAGTGACCCTTAATTGATTGTTTTGTTCAAGGGCACTAGGACACCGAATGTGTTTGGATTTCTATAGGTTTTTTTCCCCTTTCGATTATTTGAATTAAATTAACGTTATACTTGTTTACTTATCTTGTGTCCGTGTTCTTAATTATTCATGCTTTAGTATTCAGTAAATAATTTAATTCAGTTCGGTATGATCTAATACATCGAAAAAGAATCAAAACAAATTAAAGTCTCTTCAGAATTTTGCCGCTCGTATTGTTTCCAATAAACGGAAGTATGATCATATTACACCTGTCCTTAAGACGTTAAGTTGGCTACCAGTTGTTGACCAATTATATTATAGAGATGCAATTTTAGTTTTTAAATGTATGTCTGTATCGGCCCCTAAATTTCTCAGCAAAGTTTTTAACACGCAATGACGTAAGTAATCGAAATACTAGAAATTGCCAGCTGTTAACTGGCATTCCTCTATTTAAATCAAGCACTGGACAGAGAACATTTTATTATAGAGCAGTTACGCTATGCAATAAGCTAGACCAATCAATTAAATTAAGTAAGGATGTTAAAAGTTTTAAGAGTAAGTTAAGAGCGAGTCTTCTTCGTTAGGAATTCATGATTAAATTTTTTCAATTTAAATTTTTAACTAGGTTAATATTTTATTTTACTAAACATTTGATCATTTTATATTGCTTTACTTTTACTTTTAGTTTTATTTAATATTATATATATATATATATATATATAACTTAGATTTTATATTGCTAATTAATTCTATATTGTAATTGACGCTGAAAAGCACCCTTGGGGATGTGCTCAATAATGTATGTATTGTATTGTATTGTATGACACATTGTCTAAAACGGGAAAAAAGTGTATTGGGTTTATATATACTACATGCTGGACACTAACTAATCGTAATATCAAGTGATAACCAAGTTCAATGATTGTTTTATAATTATAAGTAATACCATGGCACGAGGAAATTAGTGATTAAATTTTCCCGRAGTATTTGGGGGAATTTAATCACTAATTTCCCGAGTTTCACCGAGAAAAGGAAAAAAGGAAAAAAACTGTGGTTTAGATGTTGGGGTTTCTAGGTCATGGAAGCGTAAACAACGAAAGAATTCACAAACTTCATTAGCATGCATGAAATGAAAATATGGTTTTCAAATAAAAAAAACTTTGTTTGTGATGCGCTAGAATGATTCTTATAAATTTGCAAAAAAAATGTGCGTATTATACTTTGATAATTAGACTAAAACAACAACAAAAAAAGAATTATGTGATAGTACAAAATACCCTGACATGCATTCACTGGTTTATTAAAACCTACTTTCGTATAGACCAAATTCAAAACTCGCAACGATGTGAGGCTTAAGTTGTGAACAAAGGGATCTGGCGTGACTCAAAGTAATCTGGCGTGAATCAAAAGTCATCGGTGAATCATCGGTGCGAGTTTTGAATTTGGTCTACAGCTCTGAATTGGTGCCTGTTATGTTAATTTTGAAATCTCTGTGTACACAGAAAAAAGCATTATATAAAGCAAAACACTCTATGCTGTAGATAAACTGCATGGCACAACGTTTTTCCTTTGCTACGGACAGAGATTTACAGAAAGTTCGAGAAGATAGAGTAACGACAAACACCAAAAAACGCACAAAATGGTCATAACGTGTTTAAAATTAACAAAGATTTTGTTTCGTTTCATTTTTTTTTTTTTACAATTATTTTCTGTATTAATTAAGTTATGTTAATTTTGTCTTTCTCAAATTGCTTCCGCCTCGAATAGTTTTTTATGCTAACTGCGGTTAAGCAATTATAATTGTAACATTGAAATTGAAAGGAGAATAAAGTTGTTATTGTTGTTGTTGTTGTTGTTGTTGTTAAAGATTAGTAATATATTCAGTTTGATTCAATAAAGTTTAGAAAGTTTAAGTGAAAAAATCATTGATGTACCGCATTAAGCGGAGAGAAGCTTAGATAATGGAATAAAACAAAAATAGAATCTAAAAACAAGATGTCATTTTCTATTTATCTTATGACTGAGTATGTGCAGATTTGAGAACGCGTCCCACATGGAAACCGTGCAGTAATATCATAGGTAGGATACGTTGTAATCGATTCAGTTGGAGTAGCATTGAGTTGTCTCTGAGGGAGAAGAGGCATTGTCTTCTAAATTTCCCTCATGCATAGAACATGAGGGAAATTTAGAAGACAATGAAATCGTTGGTCTTTTACTAAATTTCCCTACATTTAATACACTCAATAGCACGTTTGCATGATGGCGTCATTGACCTCTACTACCAGACTCCCTTGCACGCTTTCTTTTGTTCAGTTAACTAGCACCAATTGTCTTACTATCCTCATAAGGGAATACCAATTTAAATAAGAAAGAAAATTCGCGAAGCATCTTGGTAGTGGGAGTCAAATGACACCATCATGCAAACGTCCTATTGAAGAATCGTTGTCGGGTTCAGAAACATAGAACATAGAAGCTGAGACCGAAATGGCACATGGGAAGTACGTTAATTAGATGCATGCTGTGACCGGCGACCCGTGGCATCATCCACTGTTTTTAATACGCATTTGGCATTCTAAACCGACCGCAAATGAATAAATTATAATATAATTTTATCATTTCCCATGTGCCATTTTGGTCTCAGCTTTTATGTTCTATGTTTCTGAAACCAAAAACGATTCTTCAATTGAGTGTATATGCGACAGGGAAATTTAGTAAAAGACAAAAGTTTCTTTGTCTTCTAAATTTCTCTCATGTTCTATGCATGCGGGAAATTCGGGTTTGTAAAGGCCTTGGAAGACAAAAGAATCCGGGGTGATCATGGTATTATTCTAACTAAAATACCAAAATAGAGGTAAGCTAGCCATGCTGATGACAAATGCAAGGTTAATGCGCATGGGCAGTCTTTCCCCCCAGCAAAAAGGCTTTGCACAGTAATACGCACGAGAATATCATTAAACTTAGGGAGGGAAGTATGTGTAGTTATCCCGGCCAACCAAAAAATAATTTGACTGTGATCATGACAATTACTTACATGGATACTTGACCTTCATAGATGAGGACTGAAAGAGTCCTTCGGTCTGCTGGATTGAACTTTGGAGTTTTGTTGTGAGAAAGTGCACACTAGCCTCAATACAGTTGATCCTCACCTCAGCCATTAGATTTAGCTCAGAATACTGAGACTTTTCAGGACTAGAAAGCACAAAGGGGAAAAGAAGGACAGTTAAAACCAAAATATATTTGAACCTTAGTTACTATAAGCGCTTGTTGCAGTCAATTGCAATATATATATACTCTAGAGAGCTGAAGTACTGAAAATATTTTTCAAGTGCAGATCTCTATTGATCCGGTCAAAAAAGAAATAAAGAGTGCGACTCCAAACGCAGCAAGCCATGTTTTGGTTTTCAAGCATCCAACAAATTTGAAAACTTTATTAGTTAGCATATATTTTTAAGGAAGTGAAAGCCAAGACGTCAGTTATATGCAAGTTATAGCGGAGCTTCCGCGCGAGCGGAGCACCATACTTAAGAAAAAATGGTAAGCCATCGAGTTGATTTTTCATGGCTTGGCAGAGGTCACTTCCGTCCGTCCGTCCGTCTTACACAACACAGGGATCCCACTTGATGTCAAAAATACTCCCAAATGCGGCTCTCAAATGCACAGAAAAATTCGCTTTAGGACTAATTATAGACCAACAACAAATAAAGAAAAAACTTTCATAAAGTCAAAGGTAGATCAATTATTATTGTTTTTCGTTCAAGAAAAATGCAACTTTGTTCGACTCCTATCGCGGGGTCCCATCGGCAAACAAAAGAAGACTTTCATTCAATAATTTTATATATTTATATCGATATATTTATTTAGATATTGAATGAAAGATAAAATTGCACCAATTATTTAACTGTTTATTTCGGGTTAGTATGATTATACAAATGATCTGGACTTTGTGTTGTTGAAAGATGTTATTGTATGATCATGAAGACCTTGTCTTTTACTTTAAAAAGCTACTAAATACGCAAAAACATCTACAAATGCCAATTTACTGACAAGGAATTTCATCATTTCGTATTTTGCAATGCATTTTGCTTTATTTTATATTTTGTCTCAGTTTTTTAACAAGTTTATCTAAATCATGTAAACTTTGTTTTTCGAAAAATGTTAGGTCGTTCGTGATTCAGTTCCCTATCTTCCTCGCGCATGAAAACAGATGCCGGAAAAAAAAATCGGATTAAAATCGAATCTCGAATCTCAAAATATAGTATTTACAGCTTACGTTTTCAAGCTTATCAAAAAGTAGTTAAGGCTCATACAAAAGAAAGAAAAAAAATTTTAATGAAGAATTAGGATCAGAAGACTATTTTGAACTGACGACACATTTGTTTTTTTAACGTTCAGGGCCTTTTTTTCACAAGTTTAATTAGTTAATGATCTCCAGCCAATTTTCTCWGGCATTTATCATTTATTTTCTTAATTTCATTGCAGTAAAAATATGGTTCCTACAAAAACCTACACTCTTCATGGATAACCAAACATTGTCATGTAAAATAAGTAAAAGTAAGCTTATGTTTTGCTCACATTTTCTTTTAAAGCAGTTTTCTATTCTGTCTTTATATGCCGTGTTCATTTGTCCATAAAAAGATGAGAAATCTCCGAAATTTGGATTTTAATGAAAGACATCCAAGGTAAATTTCACTAAACTTGACATTTTATTGGATTATCTGTAGTTATCTTTCGTTTTTCAAGTAAAATTAAGCTTTAAAATGTCGGCCATGCAACACTTTGTCGAAGAATTTTGCAAGAGCAAAACTAGCCCCTGGGGTGGGCGGTGGTGGTTTGTGTATATGTGACAAAAGTGGGAGAGTACTAAGGTCGAAAACAAAGACTCGTGGGGAGAAAACAATGTAGTGCATTTACATTTCATTTTTTCACTTCATGGTTTCCCTTATGGCGGACATTGTCTTCATCTCGATGGAGAGAAGAAACTGAAGATTTTTTTTGCCCGATTTTATTTTCATCTTTCAGTTTTATCTAAATTGGGCTCCCTCTGCTATTGGGAGCTCCGCTTTTAGGCAGTGCCTAAATATACTATATTATGACAGATAGCTGCAAACACCATTTAGCTTAAAATGTTATTGCCTTATTTCAGGTGATCACGGAAAGGAGTTCGTGAGGCTTCAAGATTAATCTAATTAGATGGAGTTATAATAACCAATCTCGAAGTAATTGTACATACCTAAATCTTTCAAGCTTTGCTCCAAGATAGCCTGCGACACCCTCGAGTGCGTAACCCACCTAATTAAGACCACAGTAAAAAATATTCTGTCGTGTCGTTGATGAAAATTATCACATACAAAAAAAGAAAAGAAAAGAAGAAAAAAAAACCAAAAAAAACACGCACTCATACACACATTGAAAACAACAAACAAAACAAGGAACAAAACACACACACACACACACACACAAAGACGAAGCAAAAGAAAACCAACCAAAAGAAAAAAGGAAAAAAACAACAACAACAAATAATCAAAAAACAATAACAATCCTGTACATTTCCATTCAACATTGTAAATGTTTATGTAACTGTTACAAATGAATATCAATAGGTACATTTCAAGAATATCAATCAGTTACATTTCAAGAAATATAATCCAGTGTAGTTTTACGTTATATATAACTAATATAATGATGTAAATTACTGATCTTCCGTATTATTCCGTACCATTAATTGTGTGGATTTAAAAGTAACTAAGCCTTACGTTTCGGCAGAGCTAGCGCTAAAGTAAAGTCATGTTGTTTTATAAATTCAAGCTTTACCTCCATTTCTGTGTCCTCTTTCATGGTTTTATACATAGTTTCATTTGAATTCAAAAAAATAGTGGTAAAATAAGTGTCCAATATCATAAGCGACACAATGAAGTAATAGCCTGTTGAAAAGAGAAAGAAAAAGTTCAACAAAATGTTTAATATTATTCTAGTAACTAGTGTTTAATAGCAGAATGTTATTATTAATATATTATATTATATTAATTACTATATTATATAGAAAAAGTGTATCACCTGGTTTACATCCATACAACTCCATTCTTAATGCAAAATTAGTGTGATAATCCGTGGGCATTAGCATAATACTTTTTACGACCGTTGGGATCGGCACCTCGTTACGTTTAATGGAATGCCAGTCTGTATTTCCTGCAAACATCTAAAAATAAAATTAAATTTAAAAAAAAGCATTAAAATAAACATGAATCCTTTCAATGTAAATATAATCAAGACAGCAAGGCAAAAAGACAATTAGAGAGAAGGGGAGGTGGGGAGATCGGTATGATCTCTAAAGCATATTTCCAATTTCGTTCTCGATATAGAAGTTCTTGAAAACCGCAGTGACAGCAAACATGCTGTTAAACTAATACAGATAACTTAAGTCCCTCAAATGAAACACTCAGTTATAACTTTAGCGATATATCATTATAATTTTGCCGATTACTTTAACATGTTTATCAGATACGCCAGTAATGATCAAGTTAATTTTATGTTTTTTCTTTTGGAAGGAACGGTATTTTGTTCATGGACGGCATTAAGGCGTATAGCTTTTTGACGATGGTCTATAACAATTGCTTTTCTCTTTTAACGACTTTGATCAAAGAAGGACAATTTTTTTTACAAAGTAAGTTTTGGATAATATGTATATATGTTGAAACAAGATAATTTGAAGTTTTTTCATATATGTGTGTACAGTGAAATATTTGTCTTTTTCCTTACATCATATTCTGCTCTTGAAAACAAGACACAACTATATTAGGGTTTTCCCTGTGGGTATCGATACATATATAATCCTTATATGTATGTTCACATTCATATTCACAAAGGAATATATTTCTTATTATTCACTATGATTGGATCTTATTTCCAAACGTTAGCAATTCACTGGTGGTAATAACCATTGCCATAATCAATAAACCTAGTTTTATTAGTCTCATTTTGTAAACGATATGTTTTCTATTTCATTGAATACAGTGTTTATGTCTTTCAAAATAAACAGCAGAAGTGAAAATGTGAAAAAGGCAGCAATGTTAAGCGGTCATTTTTTCAAGAATTACAGTCTTTGACTATAGCTATGTATCATAGCCTCCCGATATTTACATTGCGGTGTAGAGAAGAGCCTATTGTTACTGGCAACATTATATTCAATTTTCGTCATTTTCTCTATCTGATAATGCGGTAACGTATGCAAAGCCTGAATAATTATTATTCCTAATGCCAAGGACATGGTATGACCTCCAACAAAATTTGAGTTTTGAGGCATCGAACATTCTGGAGTAGGCTCATGATACCACTTTGTTTGTAATGGTACACGACATGACTATCATAATGAAAAATACAACAATAACAGATAAATTAAAAGATTGTCTGGATATTCATTTACTCCAATGTGGTGAGACAACAAAATATCTAGTGTCTGATAAAAGCTAATAAGTATTGGCAGCATCTCATTCCCTTAAAACCAATTGCATTTCCCCCCAGTCATCAATAATTGAATGCTCAACATAGCGTAGGGAATTGCTGGAAAGCTCTTAGAAAAACAATTATTTGCGAGGTAATATACGAGCAGTTGTACTCAAGTTTTAAAAAATGTCGATTAGAAAATACTAGCATAGACCGTACTTCATATAGGAGAATAATATTCACGTTTTCAAATTCAAATAGTCTAATCTTCGTCACTGATTTCCCATTTTGAAGCCTGCCTGTTTTGGCTAAGGCAAAACCGCAGCTTTCCGCTACACTATTTTATAGAGATAGCTCCAAAGTTAATATATGTCTCATAGGCGCATTCACAGAATTTATTCCAGTTTTCATTGGCTGAAAAGGCCCTCTCTTTTTCATTTTTGACACGCAAAAAGTAAATCTACAATGTCGTTTTTGCTTGAGCTCAATATACGAAAATCAATAAATTAACCAAAATTTATGCAATTAAAAAAAGAGCGAACACATTTTGAAACAATTGATAATATTATTGCGGTGATAAATGTTAAGGTAATGAACGATCTTGAACATTTAGTATTAAAACAATTGTCATCGTTACAATAAAAAGCATGCTTCGTAAATCAAAATTATGAGCTTCGTAGTTGCCTTGTTATTCTGCCAGAATTATAGCAATAAGGTACCTGTACCTCATGTCGCTTTTAGTTGTAAAGAATCGTGTCAGCAATATTATTTTTTGCAATCATTTCTGGCAAATCATTAACACCATAATTTACTTTCTAACTTTAAAGGCTTTCCATCTAACTTTTGTTTTCACTATCTCTTCATAATGCTATTTCACAAGTATCCAGTTCGATTCAGACCATCATTCACTTAATTACAATGCTGGTAAGTATTATTTTCACTGAATTGTGTTCTATTACGGCCAGTCCATCCAGTATCATCGACTTTCCGTGTCATGTATCTCAAGATTGGATGCATAATTGAACTTCAGAAAGTCACTGGACTAGTTCGGTTTTTTGACACCTTTGCTGTATAGTACGTTCTTGAGGTAAATAAAACTATAACTCACATACGATACATAACAAATAGTACCGGGAAACAGGTACATATCAAAGTATTGTCTCAATAAAAAAATGAAAGTAAATTAGTTTGTTAAAGTTGCTTACCTTTAGGCCTCCGCTCTGATCCTTAAAGTACAAATAATCTTTTCCAGTCGAGTATAGTAGCATGTATTGCTTTACCCATTCTCCAACGCTGGGGTCCCCATAACCTTGAGTTGCTATACCAGTTATAATCATATTCTCCTTTAACTCAATCTTCAGCCAAGTACTTGATGCCTTGTCGGGTTTAGCTCTGTGTCCCTGTGGCCAAGTCTTCAAGTTAAGCCTTGCTCTTTGGGCTCCATAGGTATTGAAGTCGTCATTATATGCAGAAAAGACAGTGATCTGGTTGTCCTTTATAATACCATTTTCCATTCCTAAAGGATCCCGGCATGACGCTGAAATCAGAAAGAAAAAGAAATTAAGACTAAACTAAAATGTTTTATATGGATTGACTTTAAAACTTCTGCTTTTCAGGAGTAACTATTTCTGTACTACGATATAAATAACCTGTTATGTTTTCAAGTGGGACTTGGAGTTTAGAACCTGCCAAACGTTGGTTTAGGAGAAGTGTTCCGAAAATAAGAATATATATAAATACGATATGCAGTGCTGTTCTGGATCCTTTCATGTTGCCTTTGGAATTGTCGAAACAGAACCACTGACACTGCTAAATATCAATATTTCTGCGTGGAAGCAGGAAAATTATCAATGGATTCACATTTGATAGCATATTAGCACTGTTGACCGCCAATGGAAGCTTCACTATTAATATGCATGCTAACGAAATATTGAAGGAAAACCGCTGACCAATTATTGTTTTCAATACTTTAAGCCTTACCTTGCTAACTCTCGTGTAAACATTCTTATAGCTATGACAAGTGCACCCAATATCTTCTTTTAATAAATTACATTTAAAAAACTTATAGTGATCATTTTTTATCGGATTAGTATAGAATTTCCCGCTGAGATTTGAATGACGGGAAATAGCTTTAAACTGTACTGGCAATGAAAAGAAGATGAAAAAAGGTCTGGTTGTGGTGGTGGTCAAGCAAATCAAATTCGTTCATAAAAAATAAAAAAACACAATTCTAAGTTAAATTAAATTTTCTCTGTAAGTAATAACCAGGTATCTGGCTTCGTTGTTTTATGAATTTTCGACCGCAGAGTTGTCTGTTTGCCTCAAAGCCAACAGCCAACACAACGGGGATGTGACACAACATGACGGCCTATTGACGTGGATTAAAATGAATACTTTGTTCTCGAATATTCGATCCGAGCTGTTACTTTATTGGTTTTTGTACACTGCTTATTTCCTTTTCTTTATCTCTTTACTAGGGATCTTCACCAAGCAATTTCTTTTTGAACAGCCTACATAACGTGTTGAATAATTAATGATTATGAAGAGAAGTTATTTACATTAGGACAATACAATCCTGAAACCGAATAATCAAATAAAACTGGGTGTTATTGTAACCCTTTACTTTTATATTTCAAGCTTCAAAACCAAGGCAGAGGGGCCGGTAAAAGTCATGTCTTTGAAAATATGGAGCATAAAAATATTTTGGCTAATCCAAGGCAAGTTTAGGCTGAAGTAACTACGTATAATGTTTTACTGTTTGGACCCACTTATTTTGACTTCTGCCGAGTCAAATCGCAATACCTTATCAAATCAACTAAACACATTAGGTCTTTTAAATGTATAGAATGTGAAATTGAGTTACGAGAAATTCGACGCTCGATGCGAGTAGACATTCCTTGTCCCCGATTTGTGCCATTTCAACATTAACAAAAAAGAGTTTTTTTTCACCTTAAAACACGTCTTGTTTAATAAAGACATTTGATCATGAGTTTTATTGAAAGCATTCAATCATATGCAAAATGTATCAAGATGCTCGAATGTTCTCTATATGAACATACATACATGCATACATACATACATTCATGTATACATACATTCATGTATACATACATACATGCATACATACATACATTCACGTAGAAGACACAACTAAAAATATTAGCTAATATATTCGTATAACAAATCAGAATCTAAAACATTCAGGCGATTAATGAAAATCTTAGCGTGGCTTGGCTTGGGGTGAGATCAGTTTGTTCCTAGCGAATAGTGCCGGCATGTAGGTATACAAAGCTAGTTTATAGACTAAATAGGTTGATAATATACCTTACAACTAAGCAGTCTAACTAGTATTTTGGCATTTCAAATTCGCCCTTTTCTGCGAATTCTCATTTAGAATTTGTTTTCTTAGTTCCAACTGTATCAAAATTGGCAAGAGCTGTTGAACAATCGGTACTTTTGGTATATTTATCGCAATAAATATCTGGTTTTTTTTGTAGCAAGATCTCTAATCGATGTCGATCTGAATGTGTGTTTGTATTTATGTATGTATGTATGCTGTAGGCACTCTGTTATAGACTGAAAATCGAGTAGCCTATACAGTGGCGGATCCAGGATTTTTCAAAGGGGGGTCATTCCGTTTCTTAAACTGTGTTAATCATCTTTTGTGTAGTCGATGTTTGACAAAAAAATTGGCTCTAATCACCTAATTTACTA